TAGATCATTCACATGTTTTGTAATTATCAATATAGTAAGGCTTAAGTCTGCCATTTTATTTTCATTTTCTGTTTGTTCCCTCTTGTTCCTCTTTTTATTTTTTCCTACCTTCATGTGGTTAACTTGGACATCTTTGAGAATTTCATTTTGAATTATCTATACTATGTTTAAGTGTATCTCTTTGCATAGCTTTATAGTGGTTGCTCTAAGATTTTTGTTATAAACAAAACTCATCCAAGTCTACTGGTGTTGACATTTTACCATTTGGAATGAAGTATAGAAACCTTACCTCCATTTATGTCCCATTACTCTCCTTTTTGTTTATTATAATATCTTAGTATTTCCTCTGCATATACTGAGAACACCTTTCAGCAGTGTAATAACTTTTGCTTCAATTATCAAACATAATTTAGAAAACTCAAGAGGAAAAGTCTATTGTATTTACCAAGATTTTGCTTATCATATTCTTTTGATGTTCCAAGATTCCTCCTTTTACCATTTCCTTTCTGTTTAAAGAACATCTTTTAGACATTTTTTTAGAGTATATCTGATTATGACAAGTTTTCTTAGTTTTTCTTCACCTGAGAATATATTTATTTTTCCTTCACTCTTGAAGTTTATAGTCACTAGATATTGAATTCTGGGTTGACATTTTTTCCTTCCAATACTTAAAAAAATAAAAATGTGCTACTTTCTCTGGGTTCCATGTTCTGATCAGAAATTCTTAGTTGTTTGATTTGTGAAATGTCCTTTTTCTCTGGCTCCTTTCAATATTTTTCTTTGTCTTTAGTTTTCAATTTTTAGTTTATGATGTGTCTTGGTGTGAATTTCTTTGCGTTAATCCTGCTTGAGATTTGGACAAAATCTTGAATCTGTAAGGTTTGGGGTTTTTTTTTATTTTCCTTTTTGCTAAATTTAGGAAATTTCCAGGTACTATTTCTTCAAGTACTTTTTCTTATCTCCATCATCTTTCTCCTCTACTTTTGGAACTCCAGCGACAAAGATGTTAGATCTTCTGTTATGATCCCACATTTCCTGAGGCTCTGTGTTTTGTTTTGTTAGTTCACATTCTCTTGTTTATATGTGTTAATACTATTATTCTATCTTCAAGTTTACTGATTATTTCCTCTTCCCTTCCCCCATTTTGAGGTTGAGCAAAACTCTAATCTGCTGTTAGTTCATCCGTCTCAGAATCAGAAGCTCTCCTTGGCATGAGGCAATGCAGAAGAAAACTGTAAGAAAATATAACTTAATTTATATCTCCTGGATATAGGAGGACTTTTTATTATGAAAAGGAGGTAGAGGGCAGTAAGGGCACTGCTGTTGTTTCATGGAGCCTTGGTTGGCCTCCTCCAGGCTCTGGGGAGGGGGAAGGGGTGCAGTTGTGAAGGCCCAGGGTCTATAGCACCCTGAAGCTCTGCCAACCAGAGCTCTCTGCCCCAACCAGGGAAGGTAGAGCCACAGCGCCCTCCCATCTGACAACAGCCAGGGGTGCCCACTCTCAGGGAGGAGACTAAAGTCAGATGATTTGTGAAGGTCAAGGGAGGAACCTGGAGGGCGCTCAGGAAAGGCAGCAGAGGACCCAGGATCAGTGATAGCCTCTCCAGTCTTGCAGGCTTCACCACCGAGGACTTTGTAACCAGCAGTGAAACTAAGGCAAGGAGAGGCCAACTCACTAGTCCAAACTGTGAATTCACTGGCTGTTTGCCAAAGGGTGTTCTGAGCATGAGTGCAGGTGGTGCCCTCCCATGCAAGCGCCTCAGGCCCCCAGAGCAGGCAGAGTGACACCTGGAGCCAGAGCTGCTTCTTAAGCACTGCCTTGTTCCAAGAAACATCGGCTGCATTGGAGGAAAACATCCTTACCTACTTCAAAGCCGAAAGATAGAAGAAATGTTGGTTTTCACTTCCCCTGAAATGAAATCCCTTAACTAGGAGCTTCCCTAAACTCAACCCCAAGGGCTCAGGAGCCTAAGTTTAGATTGTCCTTGGAAGGTCACCGGATAATCCTGGCTCGGGGTCAGCCAGCAGCTGCTCAAGATAATTTTGCTTTTCTGCTGACTCGGGCCTTTCCCTCAGACAATTAATGAGATCCTGCTGCACTTCCCCTGAGAAAGAGAACAATGGCTGTAAATGAGCAGGTGGCCTTGGCTGGTGGGAGCCCCTTGCCACAGATCAGGGATTGACGTCCCTGCCCAGCCCTGCACCCTCTCCGAACTGGGCTTCCAGGCCCTCCCCCTTCCATCTGGCCTGAGCAAGCTCCCTCTTGGGGTTCCTCCCCTTCCTACCTCTGGGCTCTTGTGAGAACTCTCAGATCTTAGTTCTTCAGAGAGGCCATCACTGCACCACACGGCTGTCTCTTTCCCCAGGCAACAGGCACACCTTACCCAGTTACTGGCTGAGGGGGGAGCTCCCTGGGTTGTGCTCCACTAAAGAACGTGCTCAGCGTGCAATAGGTCAGGAGATCCTCCTGAGTGGAAGAAAGGGTGGGCTGTCCTCATGCCTTCCCTCCCTAACCCCTCCTCCACCCTGCCCTTGGTATGAGCTGGCCTGGCTGTGGTAGCTCTGGTTCCACTGTGGCATTGAGGTAGAAATCAGATTGTAATAGGTGGAACCTGTCAGTCCCAGGATACTGTGATCCCCAATACACTGTGGGGCTGTCCCAAAGAGTCATGAGATCGCTGGGGGCACCATGGGCTGCCAGGCTGGAGGTGGGCCCAAGGATGGGCCCCAAAGTGGTAGATGAAGGGAGGCAGGTGGCAGGTGAACGGGGAGAGCCACATGCGGCTGCACCCCAAGCTGGCTGAAGGAGCAGCAGACAGGCCCCTACCTGGTACAGTGCATGCAGATAGCCACTGTGTTGAGATTCGTCCCTGGATACTGGTGGGGAAAACCAGCAAGCAGGTGGACAGTTCCAGCTTGGACCTCTGGGAGCAAAGCTGGGGACATGGCAGAAAGTCCTGAGTGGAAGTGGCCTCAGCAACGCAATGTAGACGACGAGCGGCCCCAAGCCAAGGGACCAGCACTGGAGGCAAAAAAGGCTGTGGATGAGACAGGCCAGCCTGGGGGCCCAGAGGGAGGAGCAAGTCTGGGCGGAGCAGGAGTGTGTGCTCCTAGACCGACCAGGCCCAGCACAGCCAGACCCACGTCACCTAGGCCACTCCCAGGAATCAGAACTTTGTCCTTGGGCAGTGAAGAAAGCTGAGGAGGATTTTAGGCAGAGTGTCAGGCGGGGAGGGGCCTGCTGGGAAGGCCCAGCTACCCTGAGAACAGCCCAGAGGGCAAGGGTGGGGCCCAGACAGTCTGAGGACGCAGAGGGCATCCTGCGAAGAAGGCAGTGTGGATGTAGAGGGGGGCCTTAGGAAGGGCCCTGGACTCAGACTGGGGGAAGCAGGACTGAGAGGGTGGGCCTCCTGGAGTGGATGGCAGAGGGGATGTCCAGGAGGGTCTGCAGAGTATTGGGGGGGGGTGGGGGGTTTGAACAGTTTGCAGCAGGAGGGTAGCAGCCAGTGAGGTGGTGGCTGGGAAGAGGCTGTGGTGCTTGGTGCTGGGAGGTAAGGAAGGGGTAAGGAACAAGGTATTGGCCGTACCTCAGAGCACCTGAGGAAGGAGAAGGAACAAGGACCCGGAGCGACAGCTTTGTCAAAGCTGCCAGGCTGTGGTTGACCTCAGAATACCAGGTCTTCTCTGCGGAGGGCCCTGGCTAGCAGAGTCCAGCACCTCAGACCATAGAAAAGCGCAGGCATACCAGGGGCCCCAGGCCAGGACAAAGTAGACTTTACTGGAAACAAGGAGGTTGACAGAGTGAGGAGGGGGTTGCCAGAAAGGGCTGGTGCCCCACCTGTGGGGCTTCTGTGTTCGTCCTGGTAGGCCTTTCGAGAAACTGCTGGGCCATTGTGCAGAAGAATGCCCGGAAATCCCGGACCTCCCTCCTCTAGCGAGGATGGAGGCTCTTCCTCCTGGCCAGGAAACTCCAAGTTGGCTTCCGGAGGTTGGTCTGGGGGCTGGGGTACCAGAGCTACCGCTGGTGGAAGGCAGAGCACAGCCCCTCTGTCCCTTTATGTCTTCCCTGACTGAGGCCAGCGTGAGCCTTGGAGCTGGGCCACTGCCGGACAGCTTGTATGCCGGGTCATTGGGGGACACTGGGGACTTTCTGACGTGGTGTCGCTTGAGCCCGGCCTCCCAGAATGGGGGTGGGCAGCCTCTTAGGAAGAGGAGCAGTCTGCGAAGGTTGGGAGGTCTGGGAAGTCTCCAGAGCAGCAGCAGAATGGGAGGAGGAGGAGTTTCACGAGAGACCGTGCCTGTGCCTCCTGCTTCTTGCTGGGGTCTCAGACCCCGAGGGGAGGCAGTGATTGGGGAGGCAGTGGTGCTGGGAAGTACCTTGGATGAGGCAGGAGGCCAGTGTGACTCGCACAATTCTGCCTGGCCTCTCAGCCTGTGGGAGAGGCTGCGCCAAGACTCAGGGCCACCGACCAGTAAGGATGCGGTGAAGGGCTCTGCATCTGTTAGACTCCAGGGCGAGCTTGAGAGAAGAAACCACGGGAGTCCCACACGCAAGCCTCTAGCGGTGGTGATGATGGGGACTCCCTCAGACCTTGGCCAGGGAAGAGGGAGCTGGTCTGGGGGTGGGGACCATCAGACCTCTTTCCGGGAAGTGGCGGGGGAAGTTGGGGATCTTGTAGCTCCTGAAATGGCCAGACGGGACGTGCAAGGAGGTGGCCGAGGAGGAGCGTGCTGGCAGCCGCCCCAGGCCAACCCAGAATGCGCTTGCCCACAATTAGACAACCCGTCTTGGGGGTTTGGGGGCGGAGACCCTGCGGGGAGCGGTCCCGGGCTCTCCGCTATCCTCACTCGCGGTAATTTTACTACCTGCCGGATACTGGGGGGCGTCATGATTGGCTGCGGGTCGACAGCTTGAGCGCGGATTGGCTTCTCGGGCCAGGAGGCCGGACCCGAGTCCGCCCCCCGAACTTTCAAAGGGGAGGGACCCCGGGAGGTGCCGGCATACGCAAAGTCTGTGTTCTGGCAGGCGGAGCAAGCAGAGAGGGCAGTGAGCCGGCGGCGCGGGCGCACGGGCACCAGAATCCTCGCAGGGCGCCGATCGGTTCGGCCAAGGCACCGCCGCGCCCCCCGCGGAGGCCCCAGGGCCATCGGGCGTGCGTCTCACCTCCAGCCATGGGGTCGGCGGTGCTGGAGATCCTCGGCTTGGTGCTGTGCCTGATAGGCTGGGTGGGCCTGATCCTGGCGTGCGGGCTGCCCATGTGGCAGGTGACCGCTTTCCTGGACCACAACATCGTGACGGCGCAGACCACCTGGAAGGGGCTCTGGATGTCGTGCGTGGTGCAGAGCACGGGGCACATGCAGTGCAAGACGTATGACTCGGTGCTGGCGCTGAGCACCGAGGTGCAGGCGGCGCGGGCGCTCACCGTGGGCGCCGCGCTGCTGGCGCTGCTGGCGCTCTGCCTGACCCTGGCGGGCGCGCAGTGCACCACCTGCGTGGCCCCGGGGCCCAACAAGGCGCGCGTGGCTCTCACGGGCGGCGCGCTCTACGCCTTCTGCGGGCTGCTGGCGCTCGTGCCGCTCTGCTGGTTCGCCAACATCGTGGTCCGCGAATTCTACGACCCGAACGTGTCCGTGTCGAACAAGTACGAACTGGGAGCAGCGCTGTACATCGGCTGGGCCGCCTCGGCGCTGCTCATGTGCGGCGGTGGCCTCGTGTGCTGCGGCGCCTGGGTCTGCGCGCGCCGCCCGGACCTCAGCTTCCCCGTCAAGTATTCGGCGCCGCGACGGCCCGCGGCCGGTGACTACGACAAGAAAAACTACGTCTGAGGGCGCCAGGCACGGTGGGCACCCTCGTGTCAGCCACGCTCACAAGCCGGAGTACTGGCCATGGAGCTCCGCAGCCCGTCCACTCCGACCGTTACTCGCTGGGCCCTGGGCGGTGCCCTGCCCCGAACAGGCGACACGCACTTGGGAGGACTCGCTCGGTTTCTCTTTCTGGGGGCATTGTTGGCTCCGATGTGGGTGGGGCGCAGATTCCTTGGTTGTGTGGGCGCTGGACCAAAGATGCCACTTCTCTCCCCGTCCCTGGTGGCCTTGGGTGCCACTGTACTTTCCAGCGGTTTCTGCTGATTCCAGAGGAGCAGACTGAGGGCCCGGGGCCCCCAGCCTGGGTTGCATGAAGGATGTGTACAGCTGGCCTTTACCCCATCAGCAGTCCCTGAGCCCGGGGGGCCCAAGAGACTTGGACGGGACCTCCCTCCCTCCCTCAACCCAGCAGCTCCTCAGGCCAAGATCCTGGTGTGGGGCTGGGGCGCTGTCCTCCTTGGCCGTTTGGGGGAGGGTAAGAATTTGTTTAGTAAATCGTTTGAAAATCCTCCCACCTGTGTTCTGTTGTCTGTGCTGTTACCATCTGTGTCCAGCAGCCCCCATTCATCCACCCACCCATCGACTCCTCCCTGAAAGGCTCCTGTGGGGACTTCCACAGCTAGCTCCCGAGTCCGTAAGATCCCACCCACAGCCTTTCCTTGGGTCCTCTCTGCCACAGGATCACCTTCTTGTTGGGTAGGAAACAGCCAAAGCTCACTGCAACCCAGGAAGACCCTGTATCAGAAGAGCCTGTCTGAGCCATGGGTCCTGGGGAGGTGGGGGGTGGACACGTCCTTCCCTCAAGCCAGTGAGTGGTGGGCTGGAGATGCAGGAAGTGCTGGGGCTGGGCTGCCAGGCTGCTACTGGCTTTGTTTAGAAGAGGCTGGCTCCAAGGTGGATGTTTCCCACCTGCCCTCTCAGGGCTCACCTGTCTCTGGGTCACATTAAATGGCCACAGACATCTGTACACCAACTGGGCCTGTCAACTGGGTGCAGTGAGGACAGGGCGAATCCAGGATGTGTGCTGGGTGGGCTCCAGCAGAGCTAGCTGCAGGTCAAGCTTGTTGCCATGGGAGGAGGCCCCATGGCCAGTTGCCAGGAGTGCCAGGCTCAGCTCCAGCCCATCCTGGCTCTTCTGCCAGTCTTGCCCCACCGTGCCCAACCTGATGACCATCCCAGACTTGTGCTATCAGCACCTGCTGGGAGCCCCCTGTGTGACCCTCCTCCTGTGGTGGGACCCCTGGGAGCTCTGCTGTCCTTGGTCAGGCACCTGGGGAGGGGGGAGGGGGTAGATCCCAGAAAAGCAGAGCAAACCAGAGCTATTACAGCAACTGAAAGCTCATTGCTTCTAGCATTGTTCTAGGCACTTAAAATTCATGTATTTTTACCTTCTGCCAGACTAGGGCAGAAGAGAGCAGTGGACAGAAGCAAAGGTGTTCTGAGCCTGGCCAGCAGGAAGGTTTGGCATCTGCCCCCAACCCTGGCCTCAGGGGCCCTGTCCAGAAATGCCAGTGCCATGTCCATTAGCAAGGAGTCCCCCAGGCTTGGTCAGGCCTCTTAGAGGAAGAGGGGGTCAGTGGATAGGGAGAAGCTGAGAACATGAACTCAGGGTGGCCACAGGAGAGCCAGTGAGCAGGACTTCCCGGGAGGCTGAAGCAACTGGTGGCCTGAGCTCCCAACAATGGCTGCAGGGGGATGGGCCCCACGTACAAAGGACCTCAGCAGCCTGCTGGCCTGTGCAGCAGGGACCAAAAACAGCTCCTGGCTGCTGGGGCAGCTAATGCTGGCTACAGGCTATTTGGCCAAGAGCGGTCTGCATCCCACACAAACCCACAGCTCTCCAACTCTTTCAGGTCTCAGCTGGGGTTCTGAAGGCAGCTGCACAGTTTTTGCAGCCAGGTTGGGGAGCTTGAGGGCAAACCCTGGAGAATCAGGCTGCTGCCACCTGACCCATATCAAGAGCAGGGTGCAAAGCCCACTGCCAGAGGTCAGGAGAGAGAAGCTGGCCCCCATTGCAGCCAACCTCACGGTGCCCACTACCCTTTCCCAAGGGCTGCTTTGAGTCTTGGCCACACCCACCCACTCTTTAAGCTTTCCCCTCCACCAGCTTATAGCCTGCTCAAACTACCCTGCCTTCACCTGCCCATGGCCCAGGTGCTGCACTCAGGAGGCCATGTCCCTCCAGCCTGCTTGCTTCCCTGGCACCTAAGCTCCAAGTGATAACCACAGACAAGCTCAGCCACTTGTATGCACTCTCTCCCCCCGAAACAGGTGATGTATCTGACAGACCCCCCAAAGAGCAGTAGATGGGGGCATCCTTGCCTCCAGATCATGCTCCAGAGACATCTGGGAGAGTGGGACCAGTGGACCCCATGGCTCCTGTACACCAACTGGACCTGTCAACTGGGTGCAGTGAGGACAGGGCGAATCCAGGATGTGTGCTGGGTGGGCTCCAGCAGAGCTAGCTGCAGGTCAAGCTTGTTGCCATGGGAGGAGGCCCCATGGCCAGTTGAGAACTCTCGCGGTTCTGAAGATTTAGGTCACCAAGGTCCTGTCCAGCTCAGACCTTCTGTGACTAAGACGCAGGTGAAGCTGACCTTGGGGGCATCGTGTCTCTATCAGTGGCGCTTCCTGGCTTGGGCCTCACTGTGTGCCTGTGAGGTTGGTGGTGCACGGACACATAGGTGCTGAAGTGTGAGATGACAGTCCTGGGGGTGGGATGGGATGGCTGATCACGAGAGTGGGATGTGATCAAGAGGGTGGGATGTGATCAAGAGGGTGAACTTGAGATGTTGCCAAGGCCAAGAGGAAGTGGTGGGGGAGTGGATACAACCAGGTTCTGGCTGGCATTGCTGGGCAGTGTTTGGCGCAGTGCTATATAGACACCCAGGTGCTCGGCCTCTGTCCATCGCTGTCCCCATATCCGAACATGTGCTGATTTCCTGTAGAGCTTGAGGGTGTCCAGGGAACATGATCAAGGCTCCTATGAATCCACAGAAGGCTCAGCTCAGGGCACAACTAAGTACTTGCCCTATGACTGGAGCAAAGGTTGGCACATCGAACCTAAAATAAGCCTTTTATTCCATTAAAAACCACTGTCCCTGCATTTAAAACTATAACCATAACTTACAATCTAAAATTTCAGGCGTCTTCAAACTACGGCCCGCGGGCCACATGCGGCCTGCAGAGGAGTCTGATCCGGCCCGCCAGGTTTTTTGGGCAGTGAGCGCAGCCGAGGTGTTACAGTAGGAATTAGTAGTTCATATAGTCCGGCCCTCCAGCTCTCTGAGGGACCGTGATCTGGCCCCCACTTTAAAAAGTTTGAGGACCCCTGAAAAAAGTTTATTAATATAAATAAGGAGAAGGAGGTCATTTCTGAAGATATCCAACTCTGAAAAAGAAAAAAAAGAAATTTCAAACAATTCTTAAGTTTCCCCCAAAATAAATAATGACATGCCAGGCTGCTGTTTCTGAGTAGTCCCCACCACTCATGGGACGAGGGCCACCCTAGAACTACCAAGGTGCCTGATCCTGCCTTCCTGACTGTACCCCTTGCCCAGGTCCAGTCTGTTATCTGCTCGAGAACCCCTGAAGGCCTTAGTTCTGAAGACTTAGGTCACCAAGGTGACCTTCTTACCCAGTGGCTTGTCCAGCCTCAGCCCCATGGTAACCCTCCTCTTGTCTGGAGTGTCTTGCTGCCACCCCCGACACACTGTTCCTCACCCTTCCTGGCTGAGCCACCTTGCACCCGGGCTTTGTGGAAGGACACATCACTGAGCAGACTGCAGGAGAGCGACTGCCTCAAATGCCAATCTCGCTGCCTGGGAGCCCTACTTGTAACCTTTGATTGGATCATCTGCTCTTAGTTTCCACTCATCATGGACGGGGAAACAGGAGGACCCTGGACTGGCATGAGGGCCCATCCTATGTCAGAGCCTTGCCAGGCCCATCTGCCACAGCAATAGCCCCAACTCGGGCTCAGGGAGATGCAGGACTAGGTGTGGGCATCCACTGTATGAGGGGCCCTGTGCTGAGAAGTGGTCACTAGACACAGAGCAGCCCCTGACCTGGTCAGCTGTGGCCCATTTCCCGAGGAGGCCGTTGGTTACGGCCACATGCTGTTGTAGGCCCGTGTACAGCCATTTCATAATTCTCAGCTGAGTGGCTGGCAACAGCTTTGCTTCTCAAAAGCACACAGGAGCCTGAATAGAGGCCCTTGTGGGCTCCAGCCCAGGGCCTGAAGCCAGGCTGAAGGGGCAACAAGGCTCCAGGTGGCCTGTGTGTCCTTGGCTGTTGCCCAACCCACAGTATGGTCGGGAAGAGGGCAAATGCTGGCTGTTTCTGAAGGGGTCTCAGGAACTTAATGCAATCAGCTCCCCAACATGCCCCATTGTGGGCACTGCCGCCAGCACACAGACAGACATTCCTGGGAAAAATGTGTTGGCCCCAGATCTCCCTGAAACCCAAGTAGAAGCCTGATTGGGGAGGAAAAGAGCAGGGAACCCACAGCAGGAATCAGGCGGGGCCTTTCGCAGCACTGGCTTTGTGGCAGGGCCCCCACCGGCCCCCGCACTCACCCTCAGGACAGGAGGGAAATGAGCGCGTCCAAAAACTTGCTTCGATCCTCCGCTTTCAGTTCAATTACTGCAGTAATGAAAGAAAAACATCTTGTGAGAAGGGAGGAGTAGGGACGGGAGGGAGAAGTGAGAAAAACAAGCCATAGCACATTAACTTCTTTCCAACCATCCAGGCCTGGAACCCTCCAGTACATTCCAAAATGGACTTGGCTCCCTGATAGCCTGGAATATTCTGAACTAAGAAGTTATACTTCCCCATCCCACCTCATTTAATGCTCAGAAACCTCCAGCTGCCCTGTCAGTGAGGCTGGGGTTGTGGTCTGTGGGAAGGACCCTCCAGGCAGCCAGGGGAACAGCACTGACAGGCAACAGAGGGGACACGGGGATGACTTTTAACTTCCACCCTGCTGGACAGAGTGCTGCCCCACAGTGGGTTGTGAGAGGCCTGAAGCCAGCCTTCCGTCCTGCTCTGGCCAGTCCCTCAGCTTAAGTGTCCTCTTTTGTAGAAGGGGGACACAATGCAAATTGCCTTTACTTCTGGGAGGCCATCAGGCTCAGACAAACACATGGGCCTTCGTTAGAGGGCGAACTGTGCTGGCCTGGTCCTGCAGTGCCTGTGCCATGAGTCCCGGCTCCAGGAGCCTCAAGCTCAGCTCACCCAGGCATACTGGCCAGGGCTGCCATGATCTCCACCCCCGGGGGAAGCCAAACAGCTCCTGGCCCACAAACCCGCCCCAGGTACAGCTAAGGCATCCTGCAGATCAGCCAGCACCGATCTTTCCCACTTCTCAGACACGAAACAGCAATTAGGGGGCTGCTGCTGGAGGTGAACACACCCAACTGAGCCACAGCCTACGTGGGCCCGATAGGAAGAAACCAGCTCTAGACACTGAGGCAAGTGGAATGAAGGCTGGGTCTCTGACCACAGTGATCA